CCTTTGTTCATTTAAAGGCACATTCCAAGGATAATCGTATGGGCGGAAAGGCTGAATAAAAGCGCGCGTCTGCTCGATGGGTTCTTCGTTTGAGGTTAGGCTCACCGAGCAAAGGATATCCGAAAAGCGTTCGCTTGTACGATCAGCACCGATTGGTACTGCTTACATTCACAGACGTAGGAACTGCTAGGAGGCAGCGGCCCTTACAGTTTTGTTCTCAGGCCTTTCGTAGAGCTGGCTTTCGAAGCGGCGCCAGGCTGTTCTCCACCGGTTGTGGACGCAGTTTGGCGACAAGGGGGCATTTTGTACTATCATTGCTTCCTTAGTTCCGGTTTACATGTCTCACTCTGGCGAAACCTGTGAACTCTTGTGAAGCTGGAACAAGGTCGTCAAGCCATCATGGAAACCTGTCAACTCGAGAAGAGGCTGTCTAGATAGGTCGACACGTCGATGGGAAGTAGCAAAAGTGCAAAATGCCCCCCCGTCGTCAAACTGCGCCTCAGTTGTGGTATGCTAGCTTCCACAGGTGAAGTACAGGCTTGCGCCGCGCTAACCTTTCTAGGGGAGCTGAAGAGAGGCGACATATGTAGCTAGAATAAATCCTCAAAGTGACTAAGACCCGATGAGGTTTAGCGCCAAATTCAACGAAGAAGCGACACCGCGTGGTTTTCGTAATTATTGATTGGTGCTAGTAAGTAGTACCCCGTACATGAGGTGTGAAATCCGTAAGCACTCACCTTTCCATCGATACGGATGATTCGTTTTCCTGTAGTTGTACCATGCTCGAATTCCACTCGATAAACCTTAAGTAAAAGGTGCTCACGCGAGGGATATCCAGTGGAAAAACGAAAAGGAAGACCAATGCATGGCACTGTTTGCCGTTCTCGATCCCACCCTTCGAAGGCAAAGTCCCCATTTAGCTGGAATTTTTTCCAGGAGTTACTACAGGGCATGAAGAGAAGTACTATTCGGCGTAGGATCTTGACCCCGCAGGACATGCGCCAGCCTCAAAGCACTTCATTTTACCGAATTCGTAATGAAAACTCGTTCTCAGGGTTGGCTGTTTTCGCAGGCGCCGGTGCCAGGCGTTTTCGCATTAAATGAGTGTGATATATGTGTAGAGGCGGCCAATGTACCCCTGGGACGAGTTGTCAGCGCATCTAGTAGAATGAGGTGTTTTGACTTACACTACGATGCACCAGCATCATAGAGAAATGCTATTCGCCATGTTCAGGGAGGGGAAGGGGGGCACTTCATGCTCGGAGAGGAATTTCGTTCGAAGAAATAGCCCCCACTTCTAGGACAGCAACAGACAACTCACGCCTGCATTAAACACCATATCCCGGATCTAGGAAGGGCGTGGCTGGGTAATTCACTTGAATATGGTACCGGCTGCTCTTCCAGGGACTATTATGAAACTAATGTAGTTATACCTTTGTCCAGCGCAAGAGTGGGTAACGACTGTTCCGTATCGGAAAATTCCACTTAAACACAATCACCACGTCATGTTCAAACGGATTGCGCAGCCACGCCCTCCCCTTTCAGAGATATAAAGTGTACATGTCTGTTGTGCGTCATCTACTAGAAAGGAAATAAAGATAAATTAATAAGTAATCAAATAGAATAGAAAACTAAACTAGAGCAATAAATTCTCACCTTGTCTTGCAGGGGGACGCTCCATTTCGCTACTATATCGCCCTCCACCATTCAGCTCTTAAAGTAGCAAATGTAGTACATTACATGGAAACGAGTATAGTTGGTGCCGTCGCAATCAGTCAGGGTTGTGCCAGGTGGCGGGGAACAAGCCCATCCTGGCTGCGTTTCCCTCCAGTAGTGATCGGTTCCGGAAGGAAACAACCGATGGTAGGAAATGCTGCCTGCGGTTGGGCCAATTTCATACCTCCTACACCGTTGCGACTGATTGCCACGATACACTCCATATACCTGAGATGTGGTAGGCGTGGCTGCGTACTTCAAATAAAGGTGGCGGTGGCTGTCTTTTTTGGAAAGAGACTTTCATTTTGTCATTTTGACATAATTGTGGTCGTGTCTGTGTCTAACATAGAATAAGATAACAGTTGTCCAAACCCAAATATCGCACTAGTAGCCAATTATATGCCATGTTCAAATGCCACGCCTACTCCGTTTCAGGGATATGGAGTGTACCAAATGTACTTTACCACTCTCACGGATGGTACAGAGACAGAGAGCATACTTCTTGGTTTACCAGCAGATGAATTTTGTCAAGCGACTGACAGCCCTTTCAAAAAGAAAGTGTTTTCCATGAATTAACTCTCAGGTAGAAAAAAAGAAAGAACCCCGGCAAAAAAGACCAAAGCGGGAAAGTGAGAGTTCTAGAGAAAGCTTTTTACGATCTTCACTGGGAAAGTTCAAAGAAAAACAGGCCCGAAGTGAATTTTCAATTGAATATACTCAAACTGCTCAAACTCTGCGAATATTGTATGAAAACCAACGTGAATAAAAATCAAACTGCAGGTTGAGATCCATTTGAAAACCAATTTCTTCTCTTCAGCACCGTCATTTCGAGGTCCAGTTAAGAGAGAAGGGTCAAAATGCCGAAAATTCCGAAATAGCGCATACCGGGATCATCTCGCCTTGTTAAATTGTTGGATATGACATCCCTATGCCCACATGGGTCTTTTCCAAGGGTCTTGCACTGCGTGCACGCTCAGCGCAGCAACTATGGCGTTATCTATGCATAGTAATGTATCTGTTGATGTATCGATCCAGTCGATAAAGGTCCGCATCTAGATTTCATTCACTATGAAAGGCTGCGCATACTGAGCGCCCCCGCCGAAAAAGGGTAAAGGGCCCGCCGATCAATCGCCTTTATCCCTTTTTGTGTGGTTGCACGCATACTCGCACAATCGGTTCGAAAGACAATGACTTGACTTGTATGCGAAGATTGGTTGCGCAGCGGCTTCGGGGGGGGCGGATGCAGACGGCCGAAACGTTCGTGCTTTCGTCCTCGCCTGGAATGGCCCCACGAGTCATGAAAGGCAATGGCCGCGAGCTCAAGACGGGGGATGACTCCGGGGACTTGATCCCAAGCACCTCTGGCGCTTGATTTTGAGTAATGCGAATTCTGACAGCGCAGAGACAAGCTGTGGCAGGTCCAGCTCTGGCAAGATTTTGCTTTTGACTAGTGGTTTTGCTCTATATACGTCAGATGCTCGTGGTATAATGCACTTGTATATCACTTGGATGGGCACCATGCCAATTGTGCTGTTTTCGGGAGCTCATGCGAAGGCCCTCCCGCGAAGGATTGGGTTGAGGTCCGTAATGAAAAAAGTTAACTCCCATCACCGAATTGTGCGTCCTGCTTTTGTAACGCCCACCTGATAGGCTGTCTATTCTAACTCAAAAGTCTTCCCAAAATTTCCTAACCACGGTTTCTAGAAGGTTACTTAATTTTTTATCAAAAAACTGCCATCGAGTTGAGGTAGGGGCGAATTTGGTTGTTCTGCAACCAAAGACGGAAGATACATTTCGAAACTGAAAAGGGAAAACCCTTTCTAGGGTGAAAGTGAACACCTAAAAAAATTCTCGCGGCCCGGAACTTCCCGAATTCAGGTACGACTTCCTTCCCCAGCGACCAAACTAAAAACCCATGGTGGAATCCATCACGATGCACTACCCCGTTTTAAAAGTGATGGTTCAGAATGCTGTCTTCAGTTCTTATAGTGTGGCTCCAATAGCGCATTTGCTGAACGCAACCGCCTAGCAGAAGAGGAGCTCTCATTGTTAAATATATTCGCTGCAAAAGTACAGGGTGTGCGCAGGGAACAGTGAATTGGTAGCGAAGCAAACAGCGCTTTTCCGTCCAACGGTTGCAGTGCTCAAGCATGGCATCACTTGTGGAAAAGACCGTCTTGGGAGCGCTCCAATCCGCGCCCAATACCTATCGTTAGCTGGAAAAAACGATTGTATGTGAAAATTCTGCAAAATCATGAAATTCTGGTTATCGCGATTTCTCAAGGGTACCTGACTTTAAGTACAAAAAGTAATCTGCTGGTCACTTTGCTAAAGGGCCAAGTGGGATGCACTCATACCACTTGGATTTCCGAAGTGCCTCAGCATCGCAGCAGTTCATGTGAGCACTTTCGGTAGCATGCAGGGATTATTCGCCACACTACACATTGGCAAGCTGCCAAAAGACTCTAGGAACGATTTGTTTGGATAAGATGACGAAGCAATCAAAGACATTGTCGAAATGAAGTTCTTTTTGTGCCCGTTACAAACTTCCGATTCGATAAAACACCAACACAAAGCGATAAAAATGCAGATTATTCGAAAAAGCGAGGTATAAATGCCAAGAGAATCATCGATATGTGGAAGCCGTTTTAGATAGCCGGCAAGTAAAGCGCCTGGAAGGCCCTCGGTTGCCACGGAGATTTCAGTCGCGTCCATAACTCGAACACTTCATATTCCCATTCAGAACTTACATAAGGCGTTAGAATTTTGAAATCAATAAGATATTTAGGTGTACAATGCCATTTCCGCATTCGTTTGAACACTTGAAATCGAAACCAACGCTTTTTTCGAAAAAAAAACAATTTCAAACTATATCGGACGCGCTTTCAAGTTAAATTGCACGATTTTTGGGTTCAGGCTGAATACAAGTATGCAGGAGCGGCTCGTGTTGTGAAACCGTGACTAAAACGGTTTCTGACGAGAGACGGACAAGACAATCGTAGTTTGTCGCTCCGTCGCGTGCGGCGTATGGTTCGGCGATGCGCGACGAATCCTTAATGTACACCACCACGTCGATTGAAACAGCGAAAATCCTTGAATATAAGCGAGGCAAGGATCCATCAAGTGCGATATTGAATTTTCCCACCTCTTCGACCCACATACGCAAACGGCTAGGCGGGACAACTCGTCCATCGCACGCGCTGTCGCTCGTCGCGCTCACCAACGCGGCTATTACGATTGTCCTGTCACATATCAGTCTTGGCCCCACCCCTGCTCTCGTTTCGGAGATACACAACCTCGTTATCTACAGCATTTTCTCTGATGAAATTTATTTATTTATCAAATACGATAGCAAAGAACATGGCATACCCTTGGAAAAGATGAAATGTGGCTAGAAATTCATGCTGAAAAATGGGAAACGCCATTGAATACAAGGTGAAAACAACTGGAAGTGAGGGTTTATTAACTGTAATACGCGAAGATCAGTAATTATTGTTAATAATGTTACGTATTTCTCATTTACTTCTTTGATTACAATATATCTCTCACATGCGGCCTTGATTATATGGCTGACCAAACCTGCACTGCTGTGGTGCGGGTGGTCCAGGTGGTTGATTGTTCGGTTGATTCGCTGGTAGATTAACAGGTGTATACTTTGACTCATGGGAACCGAAAGGATCATCCCCGTGCTTTAGGAATAGCGCTTTCGGGACAATGGGATCTTTTGAACCAGGTCCTTCCTTAGATCCACACCTATCTTTAGAACCGGATTCTTTTGATTTTTCTTTTGATCCATCTTTAGAAGGTTCCGCGGATCCCAAACGTTCAACCCCTCTCCTTCTCATTCCTTTTTTCTTCTTGTTCTTCTGTTCTGCTGACTGTTGTTCCAATTCCAGCGCCGCCTCCCGTACACGCATATCCCACGTCCGTTCGAGCCATTTCTTAATAACTATGATCCTGTTTCGTACTGAATTTATAAATTGCAAGTAATCCCCTACCTTGCGCCTTGCCCTGCGAAATTTGATTATAAATGGAGAGCAAGCTATGATTATGAGACACAGCACTACAAATACAGCTCCTGCTCCCGCTATCACGAGAATCCTGCAAACAAGAGCATGAAATCCGGCTCATGTAGTTGATGGAGACGAGGACAGGGCACATTGTTGTTGGGTATTCCCCAACAGGAGGTCTATATTTGGTCGCTGGGGAGGGGGGAGGTAATTGAATCAGGAAATTTTTTAAAAGTTGATTGTTCTTGTTCCACGCACGCAATAAAGAGGAGGTCGCAGTTGCTCGTTGTTGGGAAGGGGGCGGGGCCTTGGCTTCCGACTTCTGGGAGAGGTTGGTGAGTTTTCATGGTTTTCCTGCTCCATGTGCACAATATACCTGTATACCCCTTTCCGCTCGACAGTTCGATGAGGTGGGAACCAGGAGGGTGGGTATACCCAAAAAGGGGAGGAGGGGGGTCGTGCGGGCTAAATCAAAGTCTCCAACCGATGATTTGCCAGTAAGACCACGGGGAGATTTCATTGATGACCCAAAAAAGGGGAGGGAGGGGGGTCGTGGGCGGCTTAAATCAAAGTCCAACGATGATTTGGCAGTAGACGGGGAGACATTTTCATTGGGCCCCCAGGCTACTGTAACTCACCTCCAACAGTTTCGGTTTGGTGCCAAAGTGAAAAGGAATGGGTCCGCATCCACTCAAAAAAGCGAGGAACGAGAATGGAGGGTGCTGATACCTGGATGCCACAGTCCCTAGTGTTTATACACCGCCCGCGCATCCTCGAGGTGCAGCACTTGTTTCGATGGTCTCGCAGTACATGGCGGTAGAGAAGCAGATGTGGGGCAGGCAAGTAGCGCGTTTGACTGTAGTTAGGCGTGTGGCAACGAACGTTATATTCGTTATCATGATATGAAACAACCCTATTACCCAACTTTTTTTCGGTTTTGCTGAGGAAGGTTGGTACGCCAAATTAGCACCAAGTTGCGCCAGCGCTGGAAATAGTATAATTTTCGTGATGAAGGCACCGAACAACCCTTATAGGAGAACATTCAGAAAAATTCGTTGAGTTTCTAGAGTGGGAATAGTCCTGTTTTGCCAAATTGAGGGCTTTACATAATGGCACTGGAACCAACAACTGAAACGAGCTTCCTTGCAGCTTGAAACATTTATCCCAAGACCAAATACAGCCCACTCTCCCTCAGCGACCAAGGAATCGAATTTCTAAAAGACCTGTGGAACCTACGTCATTGACCATCCCGATTCACTGTCTTGCCCCTTCAGCGCAGTCTTTTGCCCTTGCGCTTCCTGCAATGAACAGAGCTATTAGACGAAGAAAACCACTGAGAAATATGAAAATGAGACGTCAGCCTTTGAAGGCAAGCAGACATCCCATTGAAAACATTGACACCTAAACTGCAGGACTTGCCTCAAATCAGCACAACCACAAAAACGCTTAGCAAGCGCGATTCCGCGGGAATGAAGCCTTTGCGAACCACTTTCGCGCAGACGGGTGGGCAGTGCAAGACGATAACGTAACATTGGCCCGATCAGAGCTATTTGGTGCTCATGGCAAAAGTGGCCACTGTATGGGAGCCACTGGTATGGGAACCGGAGAAACCAGTAGCACATTTCGATCCAAACGAGGTTGCAACAGTGTATTAAACCACTAATCCATTAAACACCTGGTTTCTCCAGCCAACAGGGCACCTACTGCCGTTTGGAAAAGGTTTGCAAAACATCATCTTCCCCGTACGACCCCCTACCTGTCATTGTCTTAAAGACACTCCCCGCGATCAAGTGGTCCTCAAAATGACTTCGTGCTTTTTGGAACCCTCTACGCCTTGACGAAGATGATACCACTTTCATCCCTCAATATGGCGCGATAAGGAAGTTATAGCGATTTCCACAAGGCTCGCTAGGCTCGCTGACACGGTAGGTGGACGAGGCGTCCGGTCCCGAGCTGCTTCCGTCCCTTTAAAGTATCCTATTTCGAAAGTCGGGACGCAATTGCGGCTGCCGCATCGATTTCTGGCAGCCACGTCCGGCACACTCGTCCAGGCCCCGCCCCCACTGCTAAAGGGAGGTCTGTGTTCAGGGTGTTCGCGAGGGTTTTTTTTCGATTTTTTTTCCACTGGGGGTTACAAATGGGCCACTGCTTCGTGACTGAGCACCAATTACCCGAACACTTGATCGCGGGAATTGTCTTTAAGCCTTCCAAGCTTCCTATCACCTTTTCGAGGTTTCCTCCCCAAGTTTCCCCTTTTTTTGTCCCAAAAAAAGTTGCGGCTGTCGGACGCACACGGTGAAGGGGGGAGGGGGAGGGAGGGGAGTGGGGGGGAGTTCGTGGGGGAGGGAGGGGAGTGGAAGGGGAGTTCGGGTGGGTGGGAGTGAAGTGGCGAGGGTATCCACTCGAAACAGGAAGAGCTTAGAAAAGTCAAGAGACGGAAGCATTCTCTGAAACCAAATACGAACTCCCTCATTCTCTTCGGCAACCAAATCCCACCCCCTCCCTCTCGCTAGCCCTCCCGGTGTACACAGCTCCTCCGACCAAGGACCATTGACCATCAAGCCGTGGTCATTCAGTGTCGCACAGTGGAAGTGGGGTATTCTCCGAGGTTGTGGTATAAACTAATTCTACAAGAAAAGAGTCCTATATATGGGAATGTGAGCAGAGATAACCGAGTAGACACCCTTTTCACCCGATGAAAGCATGAGCGCACTGCTTTCTGGTACCCCTATATCCAAATAATTAGTGTCACAGCCATGACCAGTCATAAGCTTCCTGCACTCTCAGAAGAGTGCTAAAAGGCAGTCTCACGTTATTTTGTGTGAAGACGTCATCAACAGGGTTGTTCGGCCCGATGTATCACTCGTACATTATAAGGGCCCAAGCAGCTCACCGCTCATGACAAGCACTGTACCTCGCCCATAGCCCAAACTACGCCCAGCGTTCACTGCTCAAAGTCACCTGACAATGCAGTCGTTTTACTCTCTCATTCGCTTGTTCTTCCCATTTCGAAGGGGAGTGACAAAGAGAAATATCTTTGTCACATCAGCTAGTGATACTTGTACAAGCCCGCCCTTTCTTCGTCGTGCCCTCCTACTAGCTCAAATCGCTAGGTGATCCTATCTAGGGCATTTCGGATAGCTTCATTCCACGACTGAGTCAAAAACCACCTTGTTATCTTATGTTAGCCCCACTTCCAAATATTCCAGCATTTCGGTGGTGGTTTTGAATCAGAACCTACCATAGACTGATTAACGGGAGGATCTGGACGAACTCGTGGAGCTCCATCTAAGAGTGCAGTCGCTTCGGGAACATCTGAAATTTGTCTCGTTTATTCAGCTTACAGATACTGTAGATTTCCCGCTATCTGTCTCACAGGAAAGTACCTAATCTACATGATATGAAGACTGTCTTTACATTCCATATTAAATCCCTGGAGAAGACCAGGCAGATAGGGGACGGTGCCTACCAAAGCATCGAGGCGTGCAAGAAACTATGGCGAGCCAGAGAACGAATTTTTTCAAGGGGAATAGGACTCTGGGGAGTCATATATTTTGCCTGAAAAGGGAATGTGCGAAGTTACAATGACCATAGAGTGCCACGCGGAGGGATAGAGGAAGAGAGTGCAGAGAAAAACAGAAATTTGATGCGTTCAAAGAAGCTGAGTTTAAGTTATCCGTAGATCAGAGAGGACGACTTGCGATAGCTACAAATCTGCATAGTGTGCTGGCAGTTGCCAACTTAGGAGTAATAGAAGGGTCCTAGATTGCGTGATTAGGCAACGACTCTCCCATTCTCCCATAGTCTCTTGAAATATTAGCGGCCTATGCCGGTCGATATTCG